CATCTCAATGGGACCATCAGCAAGTGATGGCACCGCTTACTTCGGGATCATATGGCCCACTACTTGCACCCCATGTTAAAGGATGCACAATGTGGTGGTAGATCGCGGAGGGGTCCAGCGCAGCTGCTTCACATGATGACTACTTTTATTCAGGCTTGTAAGACAGTTGGGAAGACGGCTATTTTGTATTTCATCGACCTGAAGGCGGCATTCCACTCTACCATTCGTTCTTTGGTACTGCCCACGTGCAACGACGAGGACGACAGAGAATACATTTTACACAATCATGACATCCCCATCGTCCTGCTTCCGATTTTCGAGTTCATCCTTTCACAGCCAGGGGCACTAGCAGAATTGGAGGACCAACCGCATCTTTTAGCACTCTTGATTGAGGGCCATCGAGACACTCATTTTGGCACGGCGAGGCAAGATAACCAAGATGTCGCAAGGTCCCGTCGGGGATCGAGACCAGGCAGTTCGTTGGCCGATGCGATTTTCAATATCTCTTTTGTCAAGCCACTGAAGGCCACCGACAATGAATTAATCCAGCATGGTCTATCTCTTGATCTCCACGTCACTCCTGCCAGTGGTACATTTTCATCAGGATTAGCAGCACCCACGCTTTTGGACGTTTCCTTTGTGGATGACGGACTGTATCTACTCACGCCACGTTCTTCGGACGAGGCTGTCAACGCAGCGGGCCTGGCGGTCGACTGCGTCCACAAGCACATGGTCACCCACGGCTTCGCGGTAAACTACCAGAGGCACAAGAGCAGTGTTATGATCATTCCAGCTGGTTATGGTGCTCGAAATCTTACTCTTCGCTTGCAAAGCTTTTCAAATGCCAAGATCGTGACGCCAGAATGGCAGGTTGAAGCTCATCTTGTGAGGGACTACAAGTACCTGGGGGCCATGGTGGACGAGGAGGCGTCGCTTGGGCCACGCATAGCGCTGGCCACCAGCAAACAGAAGTCAGCTCTTGATCCGATTCGAAGGATGACGGCACGATTGCATCGGTTGTCCCCAGCGGCCAAGGTAAATCTATGCGATGTCCTTGCTAACGTTCATCTTCTATATCTAACTGAGGTCTGGCACGGTATGCGGCAAGCACAAAGGAAGGCCTTGGAGGCTCCTAGGCTCCGCTCGTATCGTACGGCGATCGGGAAGCAGCACCACATCGAGACGAGTGGATACACACTGGGTGCCGAAATATTGTGGATGGTAAAGCGCGTCGGAATTGAGCACGTCATCAGAAGGGGGCGGCTCATTTATTTTGGCACATTGTTCACTACGGCACCGACAGCGCTTTTCTTTTTGGTCGATATGATGGCATTGCAACGTGATTCTTGGACATCTCTACTACTTGACGACTTTCGATGGCTGAGCAATTTCAATATCAAAGGGGGGACCGAAGATTGGACTCTACGGCAGTGGTTCGAGTTCGCGTGCGACTCCCCCCACGAGTTCAAACTACTTGTCAACCGTGTATGGAAACATTGTTTGCCTCTGGAGCTCGATCGGTTGGCACATCAGGGATGGCTACGGCAAATTGGGCAAGTCCAACCTGAACATCCTCTTGAAGGTCCCCAGCTGAAGTATCTCTGCTACACATGTGGCGAGACAGTGATGACTGTTGCTGCATGGCGCCGACATCAGCTTGAACATAACCCCATCGACCTAGCACAGAAGGCGGCATGGGGCAACCAATGCGGAGCATGTGGCAATATTTTTGGCAATCGATCATTGGCTATTAAGCATCTGCGCAAAGTTGGGAATCGTTGTCTGTTATGGCTTGAGCAACATGCACCTCTACTTGACGAGGCAGAGACACTCCTACGACGGCAGGAAGATCTACTTATTGAACGAGATCAGGCACACAGAGGATATCACAGGCTCAAAGTATTCCAGAAGGTGAGATCTGAATCCATGGACGGAGCTGAAGTGCAACATTGGGGAGGGAGAGGCGATCCATATTACCCTGCACCACCGCCAACGACCCACGTGACCATGGGCGAAGTTCCTATACGCTTGACGAGAACATCACTTGGTACAGTTGATGAAGTGCATATGTTGTATTGCAATGATGATATGAACGAGTGTTGCAACTGGGTACGCCTTCTCTCCAGCCACCAGGCAGCGGTCTATGTACAGCACGATTGTGTAGTAAACGAGGATGGTGAGTGTGTTCGATGGCTGATTGGATCGACGGAGGCCGACAAGCTGATGAAGAACATGTCTGAAGGCAGAGTTGCAGGTATTACCGCGGCACCGAAGCTCTCTACGTGGAGGCGTACAGTGGTACCATCCAGTCTCACTGAAGTTGAACGGGCTGTTCTACGGGATAGGCCACATATGCTCGGTGCCAACTTGAGTCTAGCTGGAGACAGACCAGTGCTGCGATCGGTGACGTCACCGTGGGGTGAACCTCGACTGCCCCCACGACTACGTGACCAAGCGATTGCGGGCAATTCTGAGTTACGATGCTTGCTGTACCTTCTTTTTGGAGCTCACGCTATGGGAGTTCCTATGGCAGTTGTTGCGCCTACAGCTCGGCTGGCGGTGGCTCTTGCATTGGTACCAAAACTTCGAGTTGCAGTCCAACAGCGACGGGTACTTCTGCGACGGGTCCCACAGCCGGCAGTAGGCACTTCTGAAGGCATGTCAATCTTGAGCGTCCACTGTGTTTTCAATTTCGAAAGGGATCTGTCTGGGGCCCCAGCTAACCCCTCCAGGTCCCAAGGGTCGTGGTCCCTTCAGTTGTCTCTCGCACTGGCCGAGGCCGTGATGGCCACGTCTATGGCACTTGGGAGATGGTGCTCATAGTCGAACCTCCGATCCGAGGAGGAGTCACAGGAGGTGCAGCGCACAGAGGGTCGGCCAGGGACCAAGTTGTTGGACTTCAGGATTTTCGTTTTCGATCGTGTGTGCCTTTCTTGGTCCCTGGTCCCAAGGCCGATGTCTTGCGCTGTGGCGCTCGTGGCGCTTGTGCATGCTCTGACGTCGTGCTTATCCTATCCCTCTCTCCTTGTCCCATCTGTACCATCCTTGTGCCTCCACCCTTTGCCTTGTTGCTATCCTTGCGCTGTTTTCTCGAACCATGTCTCAGCAGTGCCGTATTTAGGCGTTTACCTGCCGTTGCCTGGCTCGCCTGACTTAGATGCTCGCTGTGCGAGCTTGGCCTGCAGTCGCTCTCTCTCGCTCCCGTCCGTCATTGTTGGGGTGGGCATGCTGTGAGATTGGGGATGTCGGAGGTGGGGGGGCTCGATCTCGCCGTCCACTTCAGCATGGCGGGCACGGTGCCCGAGGCGCGCCTCTTTCTTGCTGTCGGCGGCCGCGGCCGCCGCCCCTGACGCTGCGAGCGTGTGCGCTCGGCAGCCTGCGCAAGAAGAAAAAAAGGGAGGAGGAGGCCGCTGGAGTCCCCGGCACCCTTCGCCCCCGGGCGCCCGTGGTGCGCCTGCGCAGCTGCTTCCTGCGCGGCGCGGGGCGTCGAGCCCCGACGGCCCAGGCACGAACCAACGTGAGCGGATCTGCCCCTCGGGGCCACGACCTTCCAGCTACGACCGTCTGCGACGCTGGGCGAATCTATATATATATATATATATATATATATATATATATATATATAGCCTCCGTGGGAGGGAGGCCCCCTGTGGCGACGAGCGGCCGCAGGGAAGGGGGCGGGGGAGGAGGGCGCGGAGGAGAAGAAGGACGAGAGAGAGAAGGAGGGAGCATCTCGTAGAGCGGGGCGCACGGCGCTCGATCAGTGCCACGGGAGAGACCAGGGCATGCCGCCTGCCAGGGTCTGGTCCGGAGGAGAAGCGATGATGATGATGGTGATGATGATGATGAGGAGGAGGAGGAGGAGGAGGAGGAGGAGGAGGAGGGGGAGGAGGAGCAGGAGAGCGTACGAGAAAGTGCGATCCCTCGGCCAAGCTCCCGCGCGGCGGGGGGTGCACCTCCAGCGGGGAAGGCGCACCTGACACGAAGGCGCCGAATCAGGGAAGGAGGGGGGGAGGATAATGCAAACGCGTGCACTCCTGTTGGGCTGCCCTGCCGAGTGTTCGCAAGCCGGCGCGCAATGCTCCCCGCTTTCCCCACCTCTCCTTCATCCCTCCCTCCTCCCCTCTTTTGTACTGCTAGGGATATCCAAACAACAGCCATTCGGAGAGCTGCAACGAGAAAGCCCACGGAAGGTAAACACCGCACTTCCCCTCCACTCCTCCCTTCCTCCTCATCCCTTGTCCTCCGTTCTCCTCCCTCCTCCCGCTCTTCCTTTCCTCCCCTCTCCTTTGCCTCGTCGCCCCTCCCTCCTCCTTTTCTCCCTTCCCCTCCCCCTCCCTCTGCCCTCCCTCCTCCGCCTCCTCCTCCTTCTCCTCCTCCTCCCTCCCTCCCTCCCCCGCCGCCCTCCTCCCGGCCGCCCCGCACGCGCCCCAGCTGTCTGGCTGCCCGTCTGCCCGCCTGCCGGCCCCACCGCTGCTGCCCGCCTGTCTGCCAGTCCGTCGTCGTCGTCGTCGTCGTCGTCGTCGTCGTCGTCGTCGTCGTCGTCCTCCCTCCTCCCTCCTCCCTCCTCCCTCCTCCTCCTCCCTTTCCCTCCTTTTTCCTCCCTCCGCCCGCCTCCTTCCTCCCTCCTCCCTCCTCCCTCCTCCCTCCTTCCTCCTCCCTCCTCCTTCATCCCTCCTCCCTCCCGCCCTCTATCGATCTGTCTGGTCTGCCTGCGTGCACGTCTGTCTGCTCCCAGACGTGAGTCGCGCCGTAAAAAATCCAGGACGGGCGGCGCTTCGCTACTCTCGGCCCCCGGGCCGCCCTCGCCGGGCCCCGGGACCGTCCAGCAACGGCTCAGGAGGACGAGCCCGCCCCGGGGAAGGGGTCGGTCGGCACTTCCGGGCGCACGCCGCCCGGAAAAGAAACCGGGACGCCGCGTGCCTGGGGCTCGTCACCCCGCTGCGGGCTGCCGCGTCGACTTCCCGCCTGCCAGCCCGCCTGCCCGCCGCCCCGCCCCACCGCGGCGTCCGGCGCGGGCGTGGCGGAGGGGGCCGGCGCCGCCGCGGCGGCGGGCGCCTCCTCCGGCCTGGCCGCGGGCGCCTGCTCCGCCTTGGCGGCGGGCGCTGGCTCTGTCTTGGCGTCCCGCGCGGCCCTCGGCGTGCGCGCCGAGGACTGGGCGGCGGCGGGGAGAGGGGAGCCGGAGGCGTCTGGGGGGGAGGCCGGGGTGGAACTGGGGGAGGCGTTAAGAGGGGGGGCGAGAGAGGGGAGGGGGAGTGGGGAGGAGAGGGTGCGGGAGGGCGGCGGTGAAGAGGAGAGGGAGAGAGGAGGGGGGTTGTTGGAAGGGGAGAGGTGATGGGAGGAGGGGGTGCGCGAGAGAGAAGAGTGGGAGAGAGAGTCCAGGGTGGGGGGTGTAGGCGTGGAGGAAGAGAAAACGAGAGGAGAGATGAGATGGGGGTGGGGGGCGGAGCACATGGGGGAAGGGCGGGGAGAGAGTGAGGGAACTGGAAAGGGAGGGGACGGGGTAGTGGAAATGGTGGACGACGGTTGGACGGGGAGGGGGCGCGCACGACTGGGTTATGGGAATGATCGCTCTACATAGCAACGCAGGCGCAGGAATGCCAGCGCAATAATGCAAACAACATGGTGGCACGGCATTGGCAACGAGAGGGGTCACAGACCCCCGGGGCAATACTTCAAGCTCTTTTGTAGCGCGCGATGGCAGCTGCAGCGCTCGCGCTGGGAACCGCGCTGCATTGGCAGCCGAACCTGGTATCAAGGGAGAAGTCAAAACATTGCTCTAGACATTTTGACATACTGGAGCTCGAAGACAACTTTCAAATTCGAGCTGGGAACCGTGGGATAATGGCAGACAAGAGTGGTCCAATTCGTTGGGCCTCGTGGGACTTCGGTCAGTCCGCGCCAAGGCCCCTCGTGGCCACCGCGCAAGGCTCTCGCAGAACCCTTGTGTTGCCTTCATCGCCACCTCGCGACCCTCGCGCTCCCTTCATGGCCCTGTCGTGGTCGCATCTTGGCCCCTCATGGCCCCATCTTGGCGCCCTCGCGGCTCGCTGCGCCACGCCCTATTTGGTGCGTGACAGAAGGATCTGCTGTTTCGGCATTTGTTCAGCTCAAGGCGAGCGCCAAGTACAGGACTATTCGCTGCTCGTGCAACGGTTGCGCGATGACTTACGACCATGCTGCAAACTGGCTCGTCGCTCAACACGCTGAGCAAGTACACGAAACAACACCGCACCTTTGTAATCACACTCGGCGCCCGATTTTGGTCACGCAAGCACGCTGCTGCGATACTGAAGATGACGTGCGTGCGTGAGAGCGCGCGCGCCCATTATAAAACGTACCCGTGATACTATCACAACAACACGTATAGCTTATACAGCGAAGTTCGTCGCGCCTGCGATGAACACGTGACGAACCCGATTAAGCTCTGTAATGCCAACGCGTTCGGCAGGTGATCGTCTGAACAATACTCAGGTGCCACAATATGATTGTAACGCGCCCAAATACATACCTCCTGATGAACAAAACAAAACTTCCGTGCCAAACTCCCCCTGGGGCCCCAGCAGAACTCCCGCTCTGTGGGGCCCATACAATGATGCCTTCAATCTTTGCTTTTTCAACCTTGGAAACAAGGTTGTCCACTCGAGCCCTCCTCCTGGCAATCGTCTTCCTCCTCCTCCTCCTCCTCCTCCTCTTTCTCCTCCTGCTGCTCGTCCTTAACTTGTCCCTAGTGTCGGCGGAATGGCGTACGCCTCTTGAATTAAAATCTGGTCGTCTCCCACACGTTGTTACTGCGACACCCTCCAAGCCACATAATCGAGCACAATGCTTGAAGCCATCCAAGCAAAGCCTCTGAGCCCTCCGTTTCTGTTGATCGACCAGGCCGAACAAGACAAGGTGGTCGAACGGGGCGGTCCCCGAAATCAGCCAGGTCCCCAGATCGATTGGATCGAACAAAACTGCCTCCCATTCCTAGACAATGCGACCAAGCGATATGGCAACTATCTCCGTTGATTCGGAGCTCCGAACGGGTTTACAGTGGAGGCCCGTTCACCAGAAACCTTCCACAAGAAACCCAACCCTGAAACCCCAGGACGTTCATGGATTTTCGGTGTGGGAACGTCGCACTTTCATAGCAAAACCATCGAAACCCAAGAAACCCAGGGCACCCTGGACGCAAGCAGGGTGTTTCTTGGCATGGGTCTCCATTGTGATGTTGGGCCCAACTTGAAGGCCAACATGGAGGCCATGATGGCCCCACATCGCGCCTTGCCTCGTCCTGTCTTGTCCTGCCCCGCCCTTTCCTGGAAGCACTCGCGCCGAGGGCTTGGGTCGAGAATGATCGATGGCTGTCCTTCGAGCGTCTCCTTGGAACAACTTGAACCAATTCAGGCCCGCCGAGAAGATAGAAAGCAGGAAGGAGGGGGACGAGGAATGAGGAGAAAAAAGAAAGGAGAAGAGGGAGAGGAGAAAGAAGGCTAAAGAGAGAGGAGGAATGAGGAACGGGTCAGGGGGAAGAGAAGTAATGCGAGAGGATAGGGAGACATGATAGGGAGGTAGGGGGAAGGAGGAGATGAGAAGGAGAAAGGAAACTAAGGAGAGATAATAAGAAACTATGAGGAAGGAGATATGAGGAAGGAGGAGAAGGAGAGAGAGGAGGAGGAGGAGAGAGAGGAGGAGGAAGGAGGAGGAGGAAGAGGAAGAGGCAGGAGGAAAGAGGAGAGGTCGGCGCCAACTGGTGGAGAAGACAAGCCGCACCACCCGCGCTTGGAAGTTCCCGTTCGTGCTCGCAACTGGAGCGACAAGTGGTGCCAGCCCAGATTGACAGATGACACCACCAGATTGCCCATCTTTCTACCGCGCACCAGGCAACGGCAAGAGAAGGGAGAGCCAGACGAGGGGAGGAAAGCCAAGTGCGCTCGCGCCATATCTGACATCCTACCTCTCCCGCCCCTCCCCTCTCGTTGCGCTAATACTCCTCTATCCACGGACACGTGTCATAGCGGACCTGGAACTCCCCAGACGACCTCATCGTGCCATGCGCAATCGGAAAAAGGGAAGTTGCGTACATGGCGGAAGAGAGGGAAAGGGAGGTCAGCCCTGTACAAGGACGGCAGAGGGTTTAGCCTTCCAGAGAGCGCAGCCTGGTTCAAGATAGCCTCCAGCATGCCTTCAAGAGCCTCAGACGGCCCGAAGTCGCCATGGAGCCTCCCAAGGAAGCTCCCGAAGTGCCAGAACCGTCCCACGACACTCAAACCTTCCCCGAGGCCTCAAGATGGCCCCAAAGAGCCCGAGGGCCGGGAACACCCCGACAACGCCTTGAGACTACTGCAGGAGGAGATTTGTTGGTGCCCAGAGGGCCGTCGCTAGCTGGGACAACCTTTCTATGCCGACGGTCTCTGGGGAGGAGGCCGCAAGGCAGCCCCGAGGGCCCCCGAAGGGCCCCAAGGGGGCCCCGAAGGGCCCCAAGAGGGCCCCGAGGGCTCCGAGAAGGAACCCGAGAGCTCCAAGATGGCTGCAAGAGGCCTCCACGATGCTCCCAGAGGTCCCCAAGATGGTCACTGCTGGGAGCTGCTCGGGCTGCCCCCTGCCCCCAGGCTTCGCTTGACTGGTGCCCCCCCTGTTTGTTTCACGAATGCCCTCCCGTACCCTTCTCGCGACAACTCGCGCGGGAGTCGATTCTGGATGGGCTGGTCGGATCTGCTCGGCGTCAGGAAATTTCGACATCCGACGCAAGCCCCTGCCAGCACTCATTAATTAGCCCCACTCCGACAACGCTGGTTTCCGACATTTGCCCCACTGGCCCCAGTGCAGTAGACACGTTCAAAAGGAATCTTGCCATAAGACATCTTGGGGCATATTCTTCCTCGATCTTTGGGGACCCGAAGGTGCCCTGGAGCTTCTGTGGGACCCTGGGGCCATCGGGGGCACCTGCTTGCAGCCCCACTCCGACATCGCCGGTTTCCAACATTAGCCCCTACTGGCCCCAGCTGCTGATCCCAAGCAGCCCCCTCGAGTCTCACGGCCCCTCATTACCCCTCGCTCTTCTGTGCCCCTCATTTGCCGCTGATGTGCGAAGATCTCGCGCTTCCCTGCCGCACTACTGACGCAGCGCGGCCGCTTCACTGCGCTCGTCGGGCGTTGGCGAACGAGGGGGGCAATGAACGGAGCGGGGGGGGAAAGAAAGAGGAGGAGGGAGCAGAAGGGAGGAGTAGGGAGGAGGGAGGAGGGAGGAGGGAGGAGGAGGGAGGAGGAGGAGGAGGATGAGGAGGAGGAGGAGGAGAAGGCGGAGGGGGAAGAGGAGGAGAAGGAGGAGGAGGAGGAGGAGGAACACGTCTACGGTGCGCACGCTCCGTCACCCGACCCGCCAGCACCCTCCCAGCGGTCGGCCCCTGCCTTGGAACCCTCTGCGGTACCACCGCGGATGCGCTGCGACAGCTGCAAGTCCCGCGGCTTGATGGTGACCCTCCGATTGTGGAGGGCGCAGAGGCCCGTGTCCTCTGTGTCGCACGCCGTGAGGCGGGGCACTGCTGGCAACGTTGACCCGTCCTCCTCCTGCTGCTACTGATGATGGTGTGATGTGATGTGATGTGATGCGATGCGATGCGATGTGATGATGATAATGATGATGCTGCTGATGATGATGCTGATGCGGATGATGCTGACACTGATGATGCTGATGATGTTCATGATGATGACGATGATGCTGATGATGATGCTGATGATGATGCTGCTGCTGCTGATGATGATGCCGGTAATGATGCTGCTGCTGATAATGATAATGATAATGATGATGATGATGATGATGATGATGATGATGATGATGATGATGATGATGATGATGATGGTGATGGTAAGGGTGATGGTCATGGTGACATGTGGTGCTCGTGATGATATGTGGGACGATTGTGGTCATGATGAGAAGGAGAAGGAGGATACAACCACTGATGATGCCACAACGCCATCGCAGGGCCAAGCCAATTGCGCGGTTGACCCATGCGCGGCCCAGCGAACGCTCGGGCGGCCCCAGGCGGATGATGGAGGGAGGCAGAGGAGGCAGTCAGTCGAGCCGCGCCGCACGGCGCATCGGATAAAACTGCACTCGGTTAACTACAGCAGTAATGGGGCATTAACTCTAAGAATACATACGTCTGGGCAACGCGTCTCCACCAGGCTCTGCTGTAGACTGGCCCGAGCTCATCGTGCATAACATAGATGTGCCAGAGGCTTCGGGTGCTTACACATTGTGCTGGTGCAACATACATACCCATGTCAATCCAAGGCGCCTCGTGATCTTCTTCCGTCGGGGCCACGAAGCGCGTGAGGGGTGTGCCGAAATGGGCGGGGAACCGCATGTGGACTGTGCCACTTGGGCCCTCGGTGGAGCTCCCTACGGAGCCACGAAGCGCGTGAAGGGTGTGCCGAACAGGTTGACACGTGGAGGGCAGAGGCAGGGATGGGAGGAGGGGGAGGAGGAAGGAGGACGCGGGGCAGTCTCTTTAAAACGAGGACCGAACTCCACAGGATGGTTGGGACAAATGCGTGAGCTATGGAGGAGGAAGGAGGGATGATCCTTGCGGTCGGAGTCCGCGTGGGTGGGTGTGCTAAGGGCAGGTCATTGAGCCAACGTGTACGCCCTTTCACTCCAAGACTCTGCCAGATCTATGGCTTCAGAAAGTTCGAGGAGCCTTGGAGGGCAATTCCTTGTCTGTGGCACTGGGCGCGGGCTGGTGTTCTCCGCGGTGTTCAGGGAAGTGTGAGTCTCCTCCTCCTCCTCCTCCTCCTCCTCCGCGGAACCCTGCCCGAGGAAGTCCCGTCCGCTCCTCTATTCGGGGTGGACGAAGCTGCATGCAGCTGGTTCTCCCAGTGCATACTTCTTGCTTCTCCACAGCAATTTAACGACAGTGCAGACTCGTGAAACACCGGAGTGAAGAGAAAGCTCGCCATGCAAACCAAGACCTCAACGTGCACCAGCCTGCAGTAGGCGAGCACATGCAGTGGACCTCGACCTGGGGGTCGAAACAGAAGCACAAAAAACCCGACAAAAGGGACGTTGGCCTCACCAGCGCATCCTGGCGCCGAAGGCTGCTCTGCATCGAGGAACGTGCCGGTCCCACTGGCGGGGCCGAAGCCGGCTACATGCAGTGCAGACTCCGCGACCCACCCTCTCTCCCAGCCCCCCGCCCCGCGGTCGTCCGCTCCGATCGCTCCTCCGGATCATCTCTGGCTCGGCAGCCGATGGCGGCGCATCTCGGCGGGATCCGACGCACCAGGGGGAGGGCGCGGCAGCATAGACGATGGACCAGCGGGAGAAGTCCTTCTCCCCAGACCCACGACGTCATCGTTTCTTCACAACGTCGACCCCAAGAGGTCTCCATCCATGGCCCGACGCTGGTCTCTCATCCCGAGCCGTTTTTGACGGCCCCGGGGCCCCGCGAGAGCCCCCAGAGGCCTACAACAGCAAACAAAAACACTGCCCGACGTGTTTCTCCTCGACGTTTCGACCGGAAGAGGTGCGCTCTCGACCCGCGAATCGAAAAACTGCTTCTCCACGACGCGAGGGGGTCTGGGTTCAGATTGCAAAACGACGCGAAGATCGGGACAAAATCGGATCGGGATAACTCGAAATCTCTGAGAATCGGTGGGTTTGGAGGATGTATTGGGCGCCGCGGCCGCTCCAGAGCGTTCCGGAACGCTCTGAGAGCGCTCCGGAACGCTCTGGAGCGATTTATCCCGATCCTAGCCCTGTTTTAGATTGCCCCCTCTCCGCCCTCTCCCTCACCAGCGGGCCGGGGTCCTCGAAGAGGCCGGTCAGGAACATCTCCGAGGCCTCCTGCAGCGCCAGCAGCGCCTGCACCTCCGCGCGGGGGGCGGGGCGGAGCGGGCGGCGTCCGCCATCCCACCCGCGAGCGGCACTGCGGGCGAGCAGTGCTAGGGGGAAAGCAAACCTACCTCGCTTTTGACCACCCTCGCTTCCAAGAGATACCAAGCGATGCCAAACTACGGCCTGTACTGGTCAGGCCGCTTGACGAGGAGGCGCGTGGTATGACTTGGTTTTGTCTGGAAGCGAAAGCGGGGTAGGTAATTCACGCTCTGAAGCGATGAGGCACCCCATCGAGTTTCTTGGGCGCTCTCAGCCCTTGGGTGCCGGCTTCCCAGCCGATGGGAGGGGGACCCCGCGCTGCGCCAGCTGGCCGGCGAAGCTGAGGAGGGCAGGGTGGGCGAGGGGCGAGGGGCGGACAGGGACCTCTCTGTCCTCGCGGACCAGGATGGGTGTGACCCCAACTCGGCTCGGAAATGCGGGGCCAACGACCAAAAGTGGCTTCCCGATGAAGGAAAAGGCTGTCGACATAATCCCCGTCCGGCCCGCACGGGGCCGTAGATTTTTGGAGACTCGGACTCGAAACGTCGCAGGGTGTTGACGGCCTGTGGCTTTACTCAATGTTAGCCTCCTGTGCGTAAGGTGCTGATTGGAGACACCACGCTCACACTATCGGTCCCTTGAATTCCTGGGGCCCACTGAATTTGGATCCACATCCCACCCAGCTCAAATCACACTGGGGCTTCCCCTCTCGCGTCTCCCCTCGCCCGCCTCCCTCCTTCCCCCCGTCCCCCTCCTCCTCCTCCTCCTCCTCCTCCTCTTCCTCTTTTTCCTCCTTTTCCTCCTCCTCCTCCTCCTCCTCCTGCCCTTCCATGGACTGGAGGCCTCCGCAAGTCCCTGGAGGACTCTGGGAATACAAAAAAACGTCCAGAGCCTCAACGTTCCTCGTCCCTCCTCCTCCTCTCCCTATCCTGGTCCCCCCTTTCTTCTCGCATACCCTTTGGCCACCGATCTCCCGTCCCTTTTCAATCGCGGCACGGCGTCTGCGACAGGTCAAGTCGAAAGCCGCGCCATGACGGCACATCGGCAACCGTGCAGACACCGTGCAAACTTAGAATACTGCTGAACAGTGGCCCTCCGCGCTCTGAAACAACCGCTGCTCCTATCCGAGGCGGTGGTCAGACGGTGTTCGTCCCCGCCCGCCGCCCTGAGCGTATGCGCTCGGCCTTTGCACACCCAAGAAATTTTTGGGCGACAGAGCTTTCACGCGCCAGCCGGTTTGGCCGGCTGCGTAGACGAGGGTCGGACAATAGCTTTGCGCACAATGCTGGCGTCTGACATGGGCGCGCCGAAGCAATGTCGAGAACTCTCTTGTTGGACATTCTTGGAATCATAGGATGTGGTATCCCCCATATCATCCTTAAGCAACAAACATGAAAACCACTAACTCGATAACAGTTGGCCTTGTTTAGTCGCTCAGTCTCCAAGAGTGTACCACAACTTAGAAACGACATATGCTTCAGACACCCTCTGTTTCCTGGCTCTGCTCAATGAGGAATGGCTCCAGACTGCCCTCAGTAGAGTGAACGTGCCTCGCGCCTCCCCCAGCCTCGGGGACACCGCGCACCTTGCTGAGCCACTGGTTGTCAAAAACCGCCAAAATACACGTATTGTTCCGTTCTGGGAATAGGCCGCCCGCTCGGATCATGGATTGGCGCTGGATTGCCGATGCAACCGTACGGCGCCGCTCAGGCCAACAAAGTGTCCGGAGAAGCCTGAAAACATGCCGATGATGCAGACATGAGCGCGGTGTCGTCGGCATACTCGACGTCGTCTGTTTCGAAGCATCCTTCTCCCACTGAACGTGTGCCAAGATGACGGTAATAATAATGATGAACAAATACGGGGACAACGGGCACCCCTGTGCAATGCCAGCTGCCTGCATGTGAACGGTGGGCGTTCCCCCAGCATCTCTAACAACGAAAGGTCTACATCTGTACGCGGCTGCAACCATATCGATGTAGGGTTCTGGAAGGCGAAATTTGCGTAGAGCCACTTGCATTGCACCAGGGTCGATGTGGTCGAGCCAAAGCACCTTCGACCAATCCAAAAACAGCGCGGACATCTCGCCATGTCTGAGGTCCTGCGCGGCGTCCATCGTGCGCTGGACCGTAAGGATCACCAGGTCTGCTCCGCTGCCAGGGCGAAAACAAAGTCGATTGTCTCGGAAGCGGTTTTCAACCACTCCAGTTCGGAACCGCTCCAAAACCATGGCAGCGAACACTTTGTAACCGACTGCCAACAGGGATATGGGATGATAGTTCGATGGCACCGCCGGATGGCCCCTTTTGAAAACTGTTCATACTGATAATCAAGCCCAGGATTGAGGAATCGTCCGAGATTTCCAACACGAGTTACACAATCCGAATGACGTACCGAAAACATCCGCATTGCGGCCGAGGGTCGCCCAGAAATCTGGCGGCACATTGTCCGGGCCGCTTGCTTTTCCACACTGCAGTCGCGACAATATCCTCTTCAGCTCCACACGTGAAATCTCTGAAAATTGAATATCCAACCCAAGATCCAACTTGGGCTCGACGGGCACTCCATCTCCAGCGCCACGGATCGCCTTCCATTGAACATTCTGGAAATGCTTGGCCATTGTCTTCGCCCTTTTGCTGGAGCCGACTAGGTTGCCATCCTGATTTTGCAATCGCCCTTGCTGGTATGAAGGTCGCTTCCTCAGACGTTGTATGTCAAACCATCCATGCTCAGCCAAATTATTCTCTAACCACACGGCCTTGTCTCGCTTGGCGGTGGACTTGATCTGTTTGTTCAGAGACAATTCCAAACTTAACTGGCCTTCGATCTGGGCGTTGTTCCGGAGCTCGACCAAATCAAAGGTGGCTGCTAGGATCCACTACCTTCTTACGATCACTGACCGGAGTGGGAACGCCTTTTCTGCAGCGGCCGCCATGGCAAATCTTACTGGCTCCGCCATTGTGTCAACGTGTTCGTCATCACGGGCTCGTAGGAGATCCCTGGCGGTTACCGGGAAACATTTATAAGATAATCAGCAAACGAAGCTTGGTTCACGGCGAGGCTGAGATGATGAAGGAGGGCGGGAGGAGGAAGGGAGAGGAGGGAGGATGACAACTGTAGCATCAAAAATCATCAACGATGCTGGAATCCGCCAATCCCCTTGCGGGGTCATCAGGCTGCGAGGCTGAGGTTTGCTGCTCCCTGCGCCAGTTCTAGTTTCCAGTTTCCTATGTTAATTCCCTACCTAGGCTGTGCCTAGAAGGGTTCTTACTCGCTTGGCTTAAAAGGGCGGGGCAGTGCAAACCGCCCCGGGCGGTTCCCCCAGTCCCCTGGGAGCCAAGCAAAAGCAACAGCAAAGGTAAAAGCAAACGCGCGGTTCCCCCAGTTGCGCTCCCTGGGTGCAAAGCAAAAACAAAAGCAAAGGAAAAAGTGAAGGCAAAAGCGAAGGCAAAGCAAACACATAGCATAGCATAGCATAGCATAGCATAGCATAGCATAGCGCAGCACAGCATCCACTATTGCTGCTGCTGATATACATGTACTAATCTGTGTGTGTGTGTGCGCACGTAGGTGGGTGTAGGTGTAGATGTGGATGTAGGTGTCGATGTAGATGTATATGTAGATGTAGATGTAGGTGTAGATGTGGGTGTACATGTAGATGTAGATGTGAGTCTCGCTGTTGATGTAGATGTAGATGTAGATGCAGTTGTAGATGTAGATGTAGCTGTAGGTGTAGGTGTATATTTAGGTCTAGATGTAGATGTAGGTGTCGATGTAGATGTAGGTGTAGATATAGATGTAGATGTAAAGAACTCCCCAGTGCCCCGCCCTCATCTCCGTGCCTGCTTGCTTTTGCTGCCGTCTCGGCGACTTGCTGCCTGCTTCTGCTACTGCTTCACTTACGGCCTGGCGTCGGCGGTTCTGGCGCTACTACTACTACTACTACTACTACTACTACTACTACTACTACTACTACTACTACTACTACGACTACGACTACGACCACTACTACTACTACTACTACTACTACTACTACTACTACTACTACTACTACAACTACTCCTACTACTACTACTACTACTACTACTACCACTACTATTATGATTGTTACTACCACTACTACTACTTCGACTACTACGACTACTACGACTACTACGACTACTACGACTACTACTACGACTACTACTACGACTACTACGACTACTACTACGACTACTACGACTACTACGACTACTACGACTACGACTACGACTACGACTACTACTACTACTACTACTTCTACTACTTCTACTACTTACTACTTCTACTACTACTACTTCTACTACTTCTACTACTACTTCTACTACTACTTCTACTTCTACTACTTACTACTACTACTACGACTACGACTACGACTACGACTACGACTACGACTACGACTACGACTACTACTACTACGACTACTACTACTACTACTACTACTACTACTACTACTACTACTACTACTACTACTACTACTACTACTACGACTACGACTACGACTACGACTACGACTACTACTACTACGACTACTACTACCGCTACTGCTACAATTACGACGATGAGGAGAAGGAGGAGGACGGCGTTTACCGCTCCTGCTAATGTTGCTTTCCTAGAGGCTCCAACTCCTAGGTAGGGTCACGCTGGGATAATTGCGTTCTGCTTCCTACTGTAAATTGCTACTGTCCGCGCGAAGGGGGGGGGGGAGCCGAAAACTATCCTGGTTAGCGTCCCCGAATCGCGTGCTCCGATTTTCTAGGGGGCCGTGGGGCATGTGAGAATACATGAGATTCGCGCTCCCGACGCAACGATCCCTTGCAAAATTAAATTGTGTTCGCGCCTCCAAGGCCACGATCCTCTGTCAATTCCACTGCATTCGCGCCCCCGGAGCCACGATCCCTTGCAAAATACATCATGTTCACGCTCCCGGAGTCACGATCCCCTTATAAATTAATTGTATTCGCGCCTCCAAGGCC